GTCCACTAGATGACTTTGGAATTTGACCCCTATAAGTGCTCAATTGTCCCATTTTTGACAATATGCCATCACAAATTGTGAAAATAACCAATAGAAGAAGACAAATTTAATTTTTAGTTATTCACATGGACAAATGGAAATAAGCTGACCAGTTTGTTATTTGCCTATAGGCCACAGGTTTTAATTTGAACAAACTCCTTATTGTTTTTGTTCAATAATAGATGATAATAAATTAGTATTTTAAAAAATGGGTGTCGGGTAATTACCAAAAATCTAGTTAATTTTATTAAACTATTATAACTAATATATATTACTATATTTTATCCACAACCTACAGAAGAAAAAAAGTAGTAGTTGACAGTTACATTCAAAAAACATGCAAATAAAAAGCCATCAGCCTTTTTTTGCAACCCTGGGGCAATCATGTTATATTAAAGACACAGAGCACATTGATTGTATGGCACCAGGTTAAAGTTTCTGGAACCTTCACTGCACTCATGTACATCAAAAATAAGTACAGGCCACAACTGAACATAAAGGATGGTCTCCGAGTGGCATTCTCCAAAATTTAACAATGAATAGACTAGGGGCTATTGGTAAGTGTGCGTTGTTGTTTGCAAGGTTTATTTATTTATAACAACCTCAGAGGATATAGAGGGTCACGAGCCACTGGCATTCTTATTTTGGGGGTCATGGGCTAAAAACCTTTGGCAACCCCTGATTAATAAAACTGTAATAACATTTATAAACATTCATTCATTCCTTTATTTTCTTTTTCAGCTAAGTCCCTTTATTAATCTGGGGTTGCCACAGCGGAATGAACCACCAACTTATCCAGCATATGTTTTAAGTAGGGGATGCCCTTCCAGCTGCAACCCATCACTGGGAAACCTCCATATACACTCATTTATACACATACTCTATAGACAATTTAGCTTACCCAATACACCAACACCAAATGTTTTTGGACTTGTGGGGGACCCCGGAGCAGTCGACATTCATAAATACTTTGTGACAATTCACTTTGACAAAATTGTAGGAAACATTTCCGTTGCATCTAAAAAGTGTGGTTATGATCACCATCCGACAAGCTAATCCAGCAAAGATCAGTGCTTAAAATGTCACTAATGACCCGTTTCGGTATGCTTTTATGGCCGTTCCCACTGTCAAAAGGTAGCAAAAAAGCTAACTGTACCGTACCACTTTTTGGGTACCCTTTTCACAGCGTGAGCAATTTCGCTTTCTCCAGAGAGCTCATGTGTGTCACTGTGCATCTATATTTGAAATAACGAACTTCTTGAGCTCATGATAATAATGTGAGCGGAATTACTGAGGTGCTTCTAACACCCGATCCTTTCAGAAACTGACAAACTTGAGAGTGAAGAAACAAAGGAGAAGCCGGAAAAAACAAAGGAACAAATGATTGTTTCAGCAACCCAAAACATGAACAAACTGCCATGTTAACTATTACCATCACTTTTTGGACTATTATGAACTTGGAATGACCAAATTACTTTCTAACAAAAGGTAACGTGCTGATGAAGATTAAAGTTGGAGATTAAAGAGAAAGGATTGCTCCTTTGACTGTAGGCTGTATGCATTGACTGTAGGCTTTTTGTTGCATGTCATTTTTGAACCCAAATAAGGACTAAATATATGCTGGGTGCAGTTTTTCTGTAATTGGTAACATGTCAGAGACTTTAAGGGTCTGTATGTGTTCATATATGTTCCATTTATTTACTTTATATAATCGCAAGCGTTACAGTAGGCTATTTGGCATTCATTCATCATTGATCTGCAGTTATAATCAAATCATGTTCATAGAAAAGTTAGTAATGAATATTTATACACAAGTATTTATGTGTATAAAGCATCTGTTTTGTGAGTACAGCTTCTCATATGATATGTGAACAACCTGTATAGCTTTACTTTGACATTGACATTGACTGTACCAACCCATACTATACCACTCAGTGGAAATCGGCCATAAAATGCAGGATTTGAACCTCATGATTTAATCGAAAACAAGGCAAATAACTGCAAAAATGTCCAATCTTTTAGGAAAAAGAACCACTTTCAATAGGCGGGCTCTGGGACTGAGAATAGGTTATAAAAATATAAAATTTCACATCTGACAAAAATCAGTCTTACCTCTGCACATAAATGAAAGTAGCAGAGCAGAACAGTGGCCTCAGAGCAGGTAATGACAAGGATGATGAAGACCAAGAATAGAAAGCCAAACATGTAATACATCTGATGAGACCTGCAGAGAAAAATGTGAACACACAGTTAGGGCCAAAACATTTACTCTCAGACTATCTGGTATCAGCATGACATGATTTCAAATTATACCAAATGCTGTTGAGGATGAAGAAGAGCTGGATGAAGATGCAGCCGAAGGGCAGGATGCCACCCATGATGATGCCCGGCACAGGCTTGGTGAAGAAGGACTGCTGAGGAATTTGGCGTGGGATCTGGTTTGTTCGCACTGGTGGCTCGATGCCCTGTTAAAACAAGGAAATAAAAACACACCCACATTCAGATCATCGTGCATGACAAAGTGCCAAAAGAAAAAGCTCACACAGATGGGAAGCGCAATAGCAGCTGATACAAAGAGATATTCTGACATATTTATGTGTACACAAACACAGAAATTCTGGTGCATCAAATCCTCTGAGCCTATTATTAAATGAAATAGCATCGAAACCACAAGTGTTGAATCAGCATTCAGGAACAATGAAAACTCTTAAGAACAATTGTTTGCTTTATGAAGGGATGCTCACTGGTTTTTTGAAGCCAAAGTATGCGCCCACAAAAGTGAGAGGAACTGAGATGCCAAACCACAGCGCCAGAATAGCCACAAGTGTACCAAAAGGAACAGCAGCAGAGGAGCCCTCAGTCCACAGGATGAGATTCATCAAAAAGAAATCCACAAACACAATCCTGCCAAAAAAAAAAAGAGAGAAAGGGAGACATATCTTTCAAACCACATACTGGCATACAACATTTTCTTTCTGTTGTCAGGTTTACTCTTGTTTCCGGTGAAGAAAGTTTTCAACATACCCCGGACACAAAAATGCGGTGAGAAGTACATTGGTTTTCCATTTTTCACCACCAAAAGCTGAGTAAACAAAGGAAATTGATTGGATAAAGCAGCAGTTGAAATGACAGTTTATTACTATTTAGCATTTCCACACCTTGGAATTATAAGGTTATATCTGCATTCTGAATGATTTTGAGATATTGAGCTTCAAAGTTTTTTGCATTCCATAAAGCAAGCAATGTGTGTGTAATAGTTCTCTTTCATACATTAACATGACAGAGACCCTAAATGTACTTTAAATGCAAATCATCAAAGTTCTCTTACACAAACTGGGGTAAAACAAACAGGACAAATGCACATAGAACCTTATAATTCTAAAAAGGTCATTTTCTACTTGGAATTATAAAGTTCTGTCTGGCAGATCATTCATTAAATCAAGAAACACAATCACGAAAAATAGAAATTGGTGTTGTAACAATATGTTGATGCTTGAGAAAGTAAAATTTTTGGCTTTCTATAACATTTATTTAATGTTTTAGGATGAATATATTTTCTTGTTCAAATTAAGCATACAAAGCGGTGTTAAATATTTTATCCAGTTGAGCTGTGAAATGTATGTAATTAATAAGGTAACATTTATTGAATGATATGCTTTATATGAACTAGTGAATTATATTTATTGAATTATATGTCCGATGAATTAAATTAAGTATTTGCTCTTTAAGGCTTAATATCAAAGAAAACAGACATTGAGCAAACGAGCTATAATAAACACTGAAAAATGTTATATACATATATAAATACACAAAAATTATATATTTTACAATTAATATATTACATTTTTCTAATTACTGTTTCTTTTTCAACAATGTAAATTGTAAATATTTAACATTTCGTCTCAATGTCAAAAAATGCTTTAAATCATCACATTTACACACATCTTTTCAGTTTCAGGTTTCTTTTCAATTTTGTGTGATGTGGGATTATTAAATAGACTCTGATTTTGTGTTTCTTTCTGGTCTTTCCCGCTGTCATCGGAGCAATCCGGCAAAATCACACAAAAAAAGCTGATCCTGATGACTATGTAGATAAATAGATTTTTTTGCTTTTTTTTTTTTTTAAATAAAAGGTCTTAAAACGTAATCAACTTATTTTAAAAAAATCACATAATGTAAATAAGTTGTCATTTAATAAGAATATCAATTTTGACAAAAATGTCAGATAGAACCTTACATTTCTAAGGTGACGATATATCAAATGACAGCTCCCCCAAAAATCAATCTTCTGTCATCATTTACTCACCCTTCACTTGTTCCAATCCAGTAATCATTGATGTCCATAGTATTTGTTTTTACTAATATGGACATCAATGGTTACCTGTTTTCAGTTTTCTTTAAAATAAAAACATCTTTTGTGTTGAAATAAAAAAAGAAACCCATAAAGGTTTGAAACCATTTATAAAATTAAGTGTGTTAATTTACATTTTTGGGTGAACTATCCCTTTATTGGTTATTTTCCCTGACTAAATATTCAGGGAATTAATTAATTAAACAAACAAATAAATAAACACCTTAGAAATGATTAAAATAAATTTCCTTGCAATATATTCTTACTCTTATAGAGTCTGGAAGAAACATATCCAGCAGGTGTGCCAAGAAGAACCCATAGTACCACTGCACAGGTCATGAGAGCCCCTCTGTTGGCTGGAGACAGGAAGCCCAGACAGGCCAAAACTGCAGAAAAGCAGGATCAGCATTTGTGTTGATTTACAACATTACAGACTTTTCAACCTTTTTTAAAGTGTCTAAATTAAGAGAGCAGTTTTAAATGGTGAGTGAACATTTCAATGCTGCCTGCGGTGCTTTTGGAAATAAATCTAAAAATGTGCTGTGTATTTTCCTCTCAATAACAAAGTATACATAAAACTCGATAACTGAGTGCACCCCATTTTGAAAATGAATATTTTTATCCATTTCTCAGTGAATATAGGCATTGTATTTTTGTGCATTTAAACAAAACAGATTTATTAAACAGATATATTTAATAAAAATATATTTTAGTCACCAAACATATTTAGAAATTGAAAGATAAAACAATTAAATTCAAGCAAAATATTGCAAAAAATAATTACAAAATTTCAACTACATTTTTTCAATTTTTTAGCTTCTCTTGATTTTTCCTCTTTTTTAAATTTGTATTTAATATTTTTCAATAATATGTAAATTTGGGTATACTAGTTTTTGAACCATTATCGTAATTTATTTTGTTAGATTTTGCTTTAGTACTGATTTTAAATACATTAATTCTAATGTATATGCACAAACATAATATTGCATAGCTTACTATATAAAATATGAATTTAAAAGATTTGTGAGGGGTGTGTTTATATATGCTGTGCATTGTATGAGTTAAAAAAGCTTCTAACAATAGCAAAATTTATGTTAGCCAAATTCTGCAAATCAGCACTACATAAACTACAGTAGACTACAAAATTAACAAGCTTTAAACAGGAAAATTATTGAAAGTCTTCTATTATTTTTGAGTGAGATCCTATTGATCTAATTCAATTATCTATGCTAAGCTAAGCTAAAAGTGCTCCCACCAGAGTCGGAGATCGACTAAATGTATTCAATTCTATTTTCAAAAAGCAAGGATCTTTACAGTATTCACTTTATCATTTACCACATTCAAATTTGAAGTTTTAACCTCCTAATGAATATTTTGAAGCAGAGGTTTGGATGAATCAATTTTCAGTGGAAGGCCAGGAATCTCATAGATTTCATTGAAAACATCTTGGCTGTTTGAAGATGAACAAATTTCTTATGGGGTTGTAATGACATGAGGGTGATTATTTAAAGGATACAGTGCTCAGCTCAATTGAGTTCACCCCATTTTGCAGGCAAATATTTTTATCAATTTCTCAGTGAATATAGGCAATGTATTTTGGTGCATTTAAACCAAACAGATTTATTAAACAGATTTATTTATTAAAATAATAGCCGAGCATATTTAGAAATCGATAAATAATAAAACTGCACTAAAATATAGCAAAAAAATAAATAAATAAATAAATTACAAACTACAATACTTCAACTACAGTTTTTCAATTTAGTTCCTCCTCTTGATTTTTCTTAGTTTTTAAATTTCATGTTTTCCTATAACATATAAATTTGGACGTACTAGTTTTGGACTGTTATCTTAAGTTGTTTTGTTAGATAATCTCCAGATTTTACCTCAGTACTGACTGATCTAATGTATATGCACAAATATAATATTGTACAGCTTCCTATTAAAAATATGAATTTAAAAGATAGATTTGTAAGGGCTGTACTTAGATATGTGAAGCGCTGTAATTAGCATTAATAGGAAAATAAAGGATTTACATTTTAGAGTGAACTAACTCTTGCACTTACAAAGGGTGATGAAGGTCATAGTGAAGATCTGAGTGCCCTGTCCGAGAAAGACAGACAGCAGCATACCCATCCTAGGTGCCCTAAACACGTCACCATGAACCTGTTTCCAGCCTGACTCCTCTTGGGCTTCCTCCTGCCAAAGATGTAACATATCTCGGCATGAGCTTACAAGACTGTCATCAGATAAAAGTTGTCAAACAAAGTCATTTAATTCTGCAAACACTTGGTGGAGTATCTCATGTATGCATTATGTTTTCATTGGAAACCAGGTTCCTTATTTTTGTTATTTGATTAGTGAGCGTGCCAATGTAAAATTACAGTTTTTACCATACAAAAGGAAATTCCCAGAAGCCAAACAATCACCAAATAATAATCACCAGTGACAGCATAAGCTATAATAAGCTTACATAGGTAATGTTTGCACCTGGAGGGATCTTAACCCAGTCTGCCTGTGAATGTCACAACAGAGGATTAATTGACTAGAGGTATTCTTATGATTACAAAATGGGGAAAATATTAACACACTAAAACTTCTGTATGAGCAGGATTGTCTGTTTGTCTTGTTTAGGATCTACATGACACAGGGAATTATCATCTCAAACTAAACATAAGATATTAATTGGAAGTTTGCTTTAACGTTTTTGTAGTTATGTGGGAGTGTCAGATCTGTTGACAAAAGGGATTGTTTTGTGACGTTAGCCTTAAAGGTCATTCACTTCTATTATCTAGATTAAAGCAGGAATGAAAACAATGTGAATTCAAGATACCTGATCAAGCTGGTTGTACCGGGCAATATCCTTGTGCAATGTCCTGAGCATGATCATGGCCACCATGCCAGACAGGAATAGTACAATAACCAAAGAATTTGAGATGCTGAAAGCAACAAATTGAAGATCAATTATTAATTTACAATGAAGAAGCCTTCTAATTTATGATTTTATTGTTTGGTTAAGCAGTGTGTTCTTACCTGAACCATTGGATATTGGTGTGAGGCATGGAAACCAAAATGTAATCCCATCGAGATGCCCATCTAATGGCATTATTTTGCTAAAAAAGATGACAACGACTCTTTTAAAACTCTGTTGTACATTGGATCAACAACAACAACAACAAAAATTGCAATTTAATCGATTCTATAAACAAACTTACTGTAAATGTAACAGAGTAAGTGTAAGTCATTTTGAAATTACTGTTGAATTCGTATGGTATTTCCATGGGAGGGCCTTCACATGATGGTTTTTCATGATCACTATGCATGATGCTATTTAAGACACAACAAAATATTACATTTGTCAAACATATACAACACACAAATTGAAATATTGTTCTAAGACAAAAATAGATTCTTAAACACACACACACACACACACACAGTGTAAAAACCAACAGTCAACTTTATTAAATGAAATAAGTGTGGTTAACGCAAAATCTACTGAAGGTTCTACTCATTTGAAAACAGTTTTGAACTCAGTGTTGAAGGTAATGAGTTAAATACCTCATGACTTCAACTTAAATGGAGTAAGTTCCCAGTATATAGATTATTTTTTAAACTTATATGGTCTGTAGTAATCGCTTTCCTTAAAACGGTTTGAGCTGTCTTAACTTATTGGGTTTTACAGTGCTCAAATTGTTTCATTTATTCAAATAGATTAAGTTTACAGTACTCATTAGGATTAGTTTTTGAACTTAAAGGGTTTGTTGCAATATATTTCCTCAAATGATGTGAGTTACCTTAGATTATTGGGTTTTACAGTGCATATACTGGAGAGGAGATAACTAAAGTTTTCATCTATGTGCATTAGCTTTCTTACTAATGTGTGGTGGAAAAACAGTAGAATGAAGTTGCAATTAAAGTTAAATAAGAAAGCATCCTCACCAGTATATAGAACAGTTCTGTCTGGTTCTCGAATCTGATTAGCTGATATGCTTGCGATAATCTTCAATCTTAGAACTTGTACAGCCTCTTCATTCTTGTGTATTACTCCTCCCACATAGTGACAGGCAGATTATTAATCTCACTACAGTTTGACAAATATTGCAGCTGTTGGACAACATAATGTACTTTTAGAGGCTTTTTTTAAGCGAGAATGTAGTCGTTTAGATTGCAACCATGCAGTTTATTTACAGGAATTATGCCTATTTTAAATATTCATAATTTCATAGATTTTGCGCAACGGCGGCCAACTTATTGCTATTGAGCAAAGCAAAAAAGGTTGACGATCTGCCACAAGAAGGCAACAAAGACCGCATAATAATTCTTTAGCAGAGAAAAACAATTTCCTCAGCGCAAGCTTCAAACTAAAGATGAAAAAATTCATTATAAACCAGGTAAGTAATATTTTAAATCTCTCTCTCTCTCTTTTGTATTGTAGTGCTGTATTTTAACCGTAGTAATCTGGTAGTGTTTGCTTTGGCTTTTTGGGGGATAATTATTGTGAAATCCTGACTGCAACAGAGAAATACTGGAAAACCTCGGTAGGCTGATACAGCCATATCGCACTGCTACTCGTGTGATATTGCTCATATGCATAGATGGATAACTCTGAATTTTTCACCTGTGTACATTTGGTTAAATATTTACTGAGGTTTCTTCTTAATGTGTAATGAAAAACCGGTATCATTAAGTTTCAATTATAGTCAAATAAAAAAGGATGCTTGATGAAACTGGTCACAATAGGTGAAGACAGACTTCACATTAGCTCTGTAGGATACTACTTAAATTTAAGGTAGTTACAGAATGCTATTTAAAAATCCCACCTCCTGGGTTCCAGTGTAGCTCCCACAAGTCGAGCAGCCATCCCAGTCGTTTCATCTCCACTGTGGTAAACTATATTGATGTCCACGTGGTTGAAAACATAAAACGTGTTCTTCTTGTTGAAATCAGCCTAAAGGAGCAGAAAGACATTAGGAGCTAGCATTAAAAAGCTGCTCTCTACCTCACATGCTTATCTTTTGGTTACCATTATAGTAATTTTTTTTAATCAACTAAATATTAACATTGTGTCAATTTACATTGTCAAAGGCAACATCTTTAAACTCAGTTCCGGGAGGGCCGCAACTATGCACAGTTTATCTCCAACCACCTCTAATCACACCTGCTTAATAGTCTCAAGTATTTTTGAACAACTTGATTAGTTGAATCAACTGTGTTTGATTAGGGTTGGAGCAAAATTGTGCAGAGCTGCAGCCCACCAGGAATCGAGTTTGAGACCTATGGTCAAAAGAATAGTTTACCTAAAAATGTCAATTTTGTCAATGTACTTGCCCTCCTCTTTTCTCAAACCTGTTTTAGTTTATTTCTTTTGTTGAAAACAAAAGAGAATGTTTTGAAGAACGTTGGCAATCACCAGTCATTGACTTTCATAGTATTTTGTATTGTATTTTTTGTTCCTACTCAGGATGTCAATAGCTACTGGTTTCCAACATTCTTCAAAATGTATTTTTCTGTGTTCATCAGTAGAAAGAAACTCATTTAAAAAAGGTTAAGTATGAGCCAATGATGAGAAAATGTTCATTTTTGGGTGAACTATCCCTTAAATGTTTAATGACTTCACTTATGTTTAACAATTTAATTTACAATACAATATCACACAGGAACTCTTTAAAACTGTGGTCACACTGGACTTTTCTGCCCATAGACTTCCATTCATATGCACGCGACTGCGTGTGTCTGGAAACGCAAGCTCGTGTGTCAAGTTTCGCAGTTTGCTGCATTGCAAAGTTCAAGCTTGGGGAACTCTAACCTCCAAAATTGCATCACTGCGTGAGGCCAATCGAAGATCAAAACATGAACTCTCTGGACAGAAAATTAAAATATGGATCAATTGCTGGCTTTTTTAAATGTCTAATAATCTTGTTTAATCCCACCCCCTTTCGCAGCGCCTTACTACAGAATTTCGCAAGCTCAAACTCTAGTGTGACCGCAGCTTAATTTAGCAAAGCTCTATCAGAGTATATGGTCTCAGTCAAGCACTGATTTACAGTCAATTAACATTGATTGAACACCAATTTTAGCTTTGAATTAATTGTATTCCATCATATCGAACTTTAAGATTCAATTAAGTGTTTCAGTAATTCATTAGTAGTTTAAGTTCCATTTTTTGTGGAAAATTTGTACCAGTGCAAAGCTTAAAAATGTCATCATCATCAATTAATTAATAGTAATATCACACAAGAGATATTTTCAACACTACATGAATTCAATCCATTTTCTCACACTTATTCGATAGATAGGAAACAGTGAAAACTTGCTTCAATCACTCGATACTAAGCACGACATTAGTGCATCTCTAATGAAGATTAAGCAGCTTTAAATGATTAATCTCATGTATCATCACAAATAAAAAATATCTTCATTAATCAGCAATTAATTCAAACAACTTAATTATTAGATTATTTACCAAATAAATATTTGATTCATCACATTAAATATAATTTTAATGACATTTCATTTGTTTTATCTGGTCACACAATCCCAGCTCATAACTCAAGTGGTGATAAACAGTGTCTCTCACATTGATAACACATGCATCCTTTGGCGTTCCTTCCTGGTTTACTAGACATCCAATAGGAAATCCTGGGTTGCAGATTTTCTGATCACCCTCCACAATATAACACCACGTTACGGGCATGTTGTCAACAATCCTGGAGAAGTGTTAAGGTATAGACCATATCAGTGAATCTGTTACTGTACAACACATGCCAAACCCTACAGTTACAGAAGTATTGTTTGAAAGGTATTGTCTGTCTAAATAGGTTTTAAGCTCTTTTGGTTACGCAAGAAACTCATAGACAATAAGGATGACATGACTTTCATACAACTGCTATCATGCCTGTAGGCAACAACGCCATCTAGACTTACCAGTGGTGCTGGTAGTTCAGGTCCATCCCTCTCTTTAGAAAGTCCAACTTTAACCTTTCCACTGCTGAAGTTGTGTTATATGATTTCGTGCAAACCTTTTGGCATGTCAAGTCATTCATAAACAAAAACTAGGAGGAAAATTTATAGGTCAGAATTTGATTGATTCGTTCATCACAAGAAGAGACATTAAATGTTGTAAAAACTATATGTCTGACATTGTTTAAAAACAATTACTTAAACTAAACTAACAGTAATGTCTATGTACACATTCTCTAAATATGATGATATAATCATTAAAACGAGTCACACAAAACGGAAAATGTGTATGTCAGTTACAATCACATCTAGTAAAACTTGAAAAACAAGATTCCAGCTCTCGGAGACCACTATTGTCTTCCAAATGTCACTTTTACAAGCAAGGTGAAATACAACGAATACAAATAAAGTCTTACCTTGTAGGGGGATGTCTCGATTCTTTCTCCAAATAACACCTGCCCAAGATTTTCTGTGGGCCTTCTTTCATTTGTGTCTTTACAGAAATCAAACCTAAAGGAAGATGTTTCCATTTGTCAGTCCTTATATACAAATTAATATAAATATGGCCAATCTTAAGACTGTAAAGTTCAAGCATACTTACGCATCATATTCATAAGGCAGGACTGATTCCACAGAGTCCAGTCTATTCACAAAGAGCTGTATCTCATGCTGTGGAAATCATAACCATTATTATATATCAGCCATTCATTTTGATGACATAATGAATACTTATTATGTGTTCTCATTCTGAACAGGAATTTGCAATTTAACATAAATGACTGTGTGTTATGCGCCAAATATGTGTACGTGGTGATAAAATAATAGCAAGTATAGCTAAACACCAGTTTATCTCACCTGACATTCCTCTGCATCTCCAGTCGAGCTCTTCTTGCAAAAATTGACTGGTGCCAAACCCGGAAGGTAGAATGCAAAGCTCGAGTTGACTATAGTTAAACTCAACAAAAATATACAGTGTGGTTTAAGAGACTTCATTTTTTTAAAGCAGCGACCTGCTAGGTTATCGGTTTACCCTGCTGGAGCAAACCATACAACTAACCGGACACAGAAAGTCAACAAGCCAACGAGCACTCAGCCTCTCCTGACTCGAAAAAGATTTGTATCAGTATCACTTCCTTACTGTGTTAGTAACCCCGCCCACTCGAGGCTCCCCCTCTACATCTACATCATTATTTATTGATGCACGGAACAGCTGGATTTACCATGTGCTGCCGCTTATTCTGCTTTTTCTATCAATAGGCGGGCAAAAAAGCATGCAAATCAACTGATACAAATCTATTACGAAATAGAATTATATTAATTTCATTCGTAAAAAATATGCCTGTGAATAGCATGAATAACTGAGAGTTGTAATCAAATATGCAATGAAATGCTTGCATAACCAATCGTGACTTTAGAATAATAAGAACAATAAAAAAATAAGAACAGTAAGAATCTAAATTTTGGAGAAACACAAATGCAATCAAAAATAAATATAAAATATTTAAAGACTTTAAATATGTAGTGAATGTGGCAGTATGACAAGTACAAAGTATAAAAATATAAAAGCACTATCAAACAGAAACATAGAAGTGTTTATAACAAAGTTCCTGGTGCACTCACCCATATAGTGTACACTAGAACTACACAATCATCCTTACCAGCTTATTGATTATAATATTGCAAACAAGTTTTTTTGTTTATTCATTTGTTTGTTTATTTATTTGTTTGTTTGTTTATATTTTTATGTTAAGATATATAGATATATAATTTATATGTTGTAAGCTAAGTTGAAATGTAAAACATACTTGGGAAAATGTGACATTTAAAAAAAACTAATAACTTACTAAATATACTTAATTGTTTTATTAAAATAAAGACCAATATTAAGTATGTGCTTGAAATCTTGAAAAGTTGGAAAGTTAGAAATGTCATTACAATTCGTAACAATTTAATGTTTATGCAGTATTAACAGTACGTAACTAGGGAATTGTATCTAAAGCCATAAACAAAACCATTTAAAGAGCACCTATAGTAAAAAATGTAACTTTTGAAAGCTGTTTGGACAGAGCTTTTTTGTTTGTACAATGTGTCTACAGTTATTTTGGAGTGATATAAACACAAGTCTCTTTTTAATACGAAACAAATCTCTGTGATTTTAAGGCCCACCAAAATTCTCACTGAATAGGTTGCCAGAAGCATATTAACATGCCTCTTTATTAACATGAATTAACATGCCTACAAAACAGCATTTGCAAAGAAACTGGGATTAAAAGATTTGTACCAATAAGGTATATGACAAGCTGATATTTCTTCCCATACCAATAATCTTTCAGTGAACAGTTAATTAGACTTTTTTTTTCAATTTAAACTTTTCCTTTTACAGCACTGATGTTGAAATGTGCATGAGAACATGCAAACTCTACACAGAAATGCCAACTGACCCAGCCAAGACTTAAACCAGAGACCTTCTTGCTATAAGGCGATTGTGCTACTCACTGTGCCTCCATGTTGCCCCCTGTAATTAACATTCATTTAGTTGTTCAAGCATAAAACTAAATGAAAAGCCGCTTCCATGCATGCACCCATCAGATTCAGCACACTAGCACAGAAACTCCATTGATTATACTGGGGTAGTCGGCGCCAGTGTAGTGGTTAGTGAGTCAACACATGCACTCTGGTGCTTACAGTGTCCTTAGTTCGATTCTTGCCACATGGTCCTATGCCGATCCATCCCCTCTCTCTGCTGCCCATGCTTTGCTGTTCCTATTCATTAAAGGTAAAACCCCCCAAAAAAATATTGTAAAAAAAAAAGAAAATAAATAAAATAATTTTTCATATTTTAAAGAAATGGCGGGCAAACTTAAATGCAGTGCTTTTTGTGCATTCTGATACCCACTTTATCTTGTATATCAATCAGGCAGGGAAAATCATTGACCCAGGTTACTAGAAAATTAAAAGTGCTTCTGCATATGTCTGCATATACCCTATTCTCTGTGATTCTCTACACCTCAAGAAAGAGTTTTTAAAACAGAGCATGTTTGTAATACAAAATGGAGAATGGAGAACCACTGGAATCACCATATCTGCTTCAGTCAAACAAAAAGATTTATTTTGTACAATAGCATAGTGGAGATCCATACAGCTGTGTATATTAACCTGTATCCTGTCACATTTGCTGCAAGTAGACATGCAAAAACAGAGTAAAGTTAAACATGTGTGCATGTGTATGTGTACTGCAAAATTACTCTGTACTGCAAAATACTGTAATGGCAAGTGTGGGACTCATTGTTGCAAAAAGGCTTGAATAAATTCCACAATAAATATATCAAATAAACATACTTGGCATTTTGACTCATAAACTGAATCCAGGCTTCATTCGTGTCGGTCACTGTGACTGTGCTGTTAATCTGACGTGACACAGCAGAAGAAGGAGACACATGGAATGTGGGTGGGGAGAACCAGTTTACTTGCGCTTGCACCAGCTACAATCCACAAAATCCACAAATTCAGCGGGGTGTAACAAATGATGGGTATTACATACACATACTGGAGACAGTAAAGACTTGTCTTAAATCTTGTAAAACAGGTAAAATAGGAGCCCTTTAAAATAAATATGCTAAATGCAGCTGTATTAATAGCTAATGAACTACTATTAACATCTATGAATATTAGTGTAAAATTAATCAAATTTCGTCTGTTTTCGCAGTTTGTAAACAGGGCACCAGATGGCGTAAGAGACTTCTCAACCGTTGAGTTCCACTTCCTCTTTCTGACCGTCGAGTAAGTGACTGTGTTGGGCGGGTCGAGACACAGCGGACACATATAAACCAGCACACGCTTTTGTCTTGTCTATTGATTCTGAGGTGAGTGAAAGATGGAAGGCGTTGTTAACAGTGTTCATATTATATAGTTTTGTATATAGACACGTGATATTTTTATGTTTCAGGTTAATTTAGTGCCGTTCGTCGCGTATTCATGCATGGATATTTGCGGGTGCAGCCGCAACTGAAAGTGGTCTCATGTAGCTCATGCCAGGGGAGAATTTTTTTCTGAACGAACGTTTACATCGCCATTTTAAGTTCGCAATGTGCAGTGTTACTTGCTTGTATATCTTAATCTGTATATGTTTTTAGCGCTATCATCGTTATGACTATATGAAGTGTTTAATTAAACGTTGCAAGTTAGCCATATGGCCTGAAGAGTTCCCAGGCTGCTTCGCATGCATTGCGTCCGCCATTTTGTGAAGCACGCTTAAAATGCATATCTATCGTTAAATAAACAAACTAAACAAGCGAGTCCTTTTGTACCATTTTAAACGCAACTAAATGGATATGAATGTTCGCCCGTGATAAGCAGTTAATACTACGGTTAACTTTATCAAACGCGTTATCAAACGTATTTTCGATCTTTTTAAAACCATAACAACGTGTATGTTACGGTAATTTTTGGTTGTTTGTTTTTATTATTGTAACTTAGTTGAATATTAAAGAATAAATTTTTTCAGACCTAGGTTTCCTTGTTTGTACTAATATAGACCAATTCGGGAGGACAGTTTAGGCTGAATTAACGTTGCTTTATTTCATACAAAGCGTGTGTATAAAGATTCTGACGATAGAATAATCTTTGATAAAGATATCACGGTCTCACGATATTGTGATTACTGCTCTAAAATATATTTAATTTTAAATGTCTGGTTAAAAAAAAACTCCCTTTAAGCACAATATATTTTATTTTGAGAAGCATTAAAAAATATTTTGGAGCAGTAAGCATGTAAGGCTTTCTGATGTCTTGTTTCAAAAACACATTTCTTTACTATTTAAAACGGCATCTTTGGATCCTTTCTGCTGAAGATACTGTTGTCCTAAAAAACAAAACAAATAAAAAAAATCTTACACCTACCTTAGGAACTGTATAGCAGAAATTTTTAGCGGTTTTAAAACCTTGACTTCTCCAAACACGGTATGACTGTCATCGTCCAGTGCATACAATGTGTACCTATCCTGTAATAGAGAAATGTATATTTTTGCAGTGGCATTAACGTTACTGGAAAAAAATGGCAGAGGCAGACCGACCTGGGAAGCTCTTCATCGGTGGCCTGAACACTGAAACTAGTGAGAAAGTCCTCGAAGCCTATTTCAGCAAATTCGGCAGAATATCGGAAGGTAATTTTCATTTTGTATGATCTAAATTGTAACGTAGATGTTATGACTTAAAGTATAATTAATTGTAGAGAGACTAGCTCAAACCTAGTGTTTGTGGCATTAAGTATGGTTTGTATCTTTTCTTGTTTTGTGTAGTTCTGTTGATGAAAGATCGTGAAACGAACAAATCTAGAGGTTTTGCGTTTGTAACTTATGAAAATCCTGGTGATGCTAAGGATGCTGCCAGAGAAATGAATGGAAAGGTAAGTACTATCTTGAAAGTATAAGTCTAGGATGACGTGTTATAGTAGCTTAATCCGAGAAGTAAAGTAGTTTGGAGCCGATTTTAAGCTATTTTTGCAGTCAAGAACACTACAGTTATGAATTCTCATAAATGGATATATTTGTGAAGGCTGAATAATTGATCAAAACCAATTGATCAAGTTAGTGGACCATTGAAATCAATAGAGTACAGTGCTTTCTTCCCGTATTAGTAAATAATGATGTGAAAATCACATTTGTAAGCTGTGATGTTTTTTTTTGTGGCAGTGATCTACTTGAGCTGATCTAGTCCACAATTTCCTCTAAGAAGTTCTGAGCTTGCCTTGTGATTTATGTCTAGTTTCTTGTCAGTCTTTTTAACATTGGAGTAGTTTTCTAAACCTGTACTTTTTGTATTCAAGCCTCTTGATGGAAAGCCAATTAAAGTGGAGCAAGCCACAAAACCTCAGTTTGAGACTTCAGGACGCCGTGGGCCACCACCACCTCGCAGTCGTGGCCCTTCTAGAGGGCTGCGAGGGTCCAGAGGAGGCCCAAGTGGAATGCGGGGCCCACCAAGCAGAGGTACATTCAAATAACATTATCCAGTTATTTTAATTGTTGCTGTGATGACACATTCTTGATGATCTGTTTGAGTTGATTGTCCTCTAAGAAGTTCTGAGCCAACGCTTAACATCTATACTTGCTGAGAAAAATATTTCCAAGATAACGTAGGAATTGTAGAACC